GACTACAACATCAGGCTTATAAGCTTGAAAGAAAGAGATCAAGGTTCACTGAAATCTTTTAGATGGGGCTCCCTGACAATTCCAAACAAAGTAGGATTTATTCACGAGGTAGAGAATTAGTGCTCCATTTCGGAGCGTTCAGATGCCGTATCATCGTCAAGGTTTGTATCTATCGCTTCAGAGTACAAAGCTTCCTCGTCTAAAGGTATTGAGGAGTCGAGTGCCTCTGCCAAGGCCTTGGTTAGCTCTTCAGATGGAGTGCCCACAGGGTCTTTAAATTTGGGCTTGAGATTTTTTATTCGAATCGGATGCTGGATTTTGTAACCCCTTTTGGAAGGGCTTATATTTGGTAGTTCTGGGAGGCTATTTTCTTTGCCAGCCTGTATTGTTGAAATGGGCTTCTCCATTGCCAGCCTACTTAGATTGGTTGGCTTGTCTATGACTGGTCCTAGAGTTGTATGTTGTTCTGACAAGGAGATTACAGTGTTCCTGGTGGGATCAAGGCTGGTTTAGACTTGGGATTCTCTGTATGCGTGAGTTTTGAAGATTGTGTCTTTGTTTACTCTAGGTTGGTCAGGCTTTTTAACATTGGCAGTCTTGATTATCACCTTTTTCTTTCTTAGGGTTGACTTTTCTGATTTTTCCTTACTTGCCCTCTTCTTCATATAATCTTGGGCTTGAGCTAAACTATTGTCTTGCTATACTAATGTAGAAGGGTTGCTAGTTTGGTGACTATTCCCTTCATCCGAGGATTTGAGCAGGTCAAACCTGTTTCTCTCATTGTCATTTCGGGGGGTCATTGTGTCAGCTGATTTCCTGCCGCCTCTTCCACTCTGCCAGGCTCGAGATGGTACTTGCATCTAGGTCCCAAAAACCTTCTCCTCACACTCTGTTGTTTTATGCGCCGTGCAGCCTAAACTCTCCAGTGCCTGTTCATCCTACACAGATTTGGTGGTAATAGTGACTTTTCCTGATCGTTTGTTTTTTGCTGGTTGAATTTTAGAGGACATAAGGCATCCAGATGCCCATATCTGCCACATTTAAAGCCTTCACATTCTACTAGTTGCGTGACCCCATTTAGCTTGCTCATAGAGACTAGGGGTTTTGTGAGATCAATTTTGACAGCTAGACGAGTAAAGTGAGCCTTGTCAACCCTTCCGTATTATAATCAATCTCGAGCACTTGACCAATAGCTTCATTGATAGCACGCAATACATTCTTGTGGTAGTAGTAGTAAGGGAGTCCTAGCAGCCTTACCCATCCAAATACTTGCTTAATTTCCAAGTTTTGGGGGGAAAGTGATGGTTCCCATGGGTGGACGGTCAAGTAGTGTCCTAGCACTACCCATGGTTTGCCCAACATCACATTTTTATAGTCCAATCCATTTTCCAACTTAACCATATAGCATCCACCATCGAGTTTAGTGAGTTTGAAGTTGCTTGTGGGACGCCACAGCTTGATGATCTTCAAGTATAGTATATCTTGCCTGATGTACCTACCTAGAATCTTAACGACTACTGCATGCCTTATGCAACTGTTTAATATTTCCTTCACATGCTATGAGAAGGTAATCACTGGGATTATCCCATCTTTGTTGATTTCCACGTCTCCTATCTCTATGATAACTTCTTCTTGGGGTAGTGCCTGTTCCTTTCTTGGGGATTGGTTGCCCAGTACCTTATCCTTGAAAGAAGGCCTGTTTGTTGCATGGTTTTGGTAAGGTGGGTCCGGTGCTACATCATCCTCCATTGCCTCTGGAGGGTCATCATGGAAAAGTTGCTTCTGAACCTTTGACCAGGTTACGTTGTCCCCTTCATTAGGCATCTCATGTTCTTCGATGTCCATATCCACACCGCTTCCTTTGCGTTCATGCATGTGAACTTTTCCTTGTGTCTTCTGCACTAGGGGTGCATTCTCTGTTTTTTGCAAGGGGCACTTTGACACTCTACTCCATTGGATGATCGATCTGTGTTCCCACTCTTTTGCTCCTCCCATAGAGGTGGTAGGTGAGTGTCTCGCTCTTTTCCTCTACCGTAGTGGGTAGCGGAGGCTTTCGCTCTTAGTGGCGGTCCTCCGAGACTAGCGTAGGGGTTTTCAACACCAAAACCAAGAGAGGGCGTCTCTCTCTAAACTCTCACTTCTCCTTACTTTACATACATCCTTTTAGATTTTCTACTAGCTTCTTTTTATCGTCAACAACCACCTTTTGTACAAGAGGTAGGGGTTGATAAAAGGAGCTAAGTAACTAGGCTTTGTACTCTTTTGGTTCTTAGGTTAAGTAGATTGCAGAGTTTTCATTCAAAAAAAAAAAAGGCCAGCTATAAATAAAAAACTAACGGACATATCTTCCATTAACAATTTGGATGAGATTGCACTCTTTGCACGATAAATAATTTTTTAGGTTGTCGGGTTTAGGAAGTGCTTGGCATAATTTTAAAAATGATTTATGATATAGTACAAAATAAATATGTTAAGAAATTTGTTTTGATTTGTAAATTTTTTTTTTATAAAAAGAGCTTGCTTTTGACGCCCTGAGAGATGCAAAGCTGCTTTTGATAGTGCCCGTTCCAAACAGGCCGCCAAACTTCCCCATTACCAAAACGCGCGTTCTCAGTATGGTTTTCCGAATAAGCGGCCATTGTTTCCCTCCTTTTCCTGGCGCTCCTGCTTCACGGAAACACACCAGTCATCGATGAATCACGAAACTGAGGATGCTCCTCCTTTGAAAGTTGACTCTTGTTCGATTCAGTTTTGGACCTTCGAGCAACCCTACCAGTACTTTCCAAAGCCCACGAATTCCCTGGCCTTTACAATCTCTTGCAGGATTCTTTTGTTGTTGCATCACATATCACGAGGTGGCTCAAGCATAACTTAAGTACTGCAACCCCATAGCCTCAAGGATCCAAAGTGGAGCAAAGTATATTGATTGATCAATTTCTACGCTCCGTTTTCAGCATTTCTGGTTTCTTCTTCAGTGGCTTTAACTGTTATCTAATTTCTGAGTGCTTTAAAAGGGGGTAATGCAGAGAAGTCGAGAATCATAATGGTCGGGGACACTTTGAAGAAAGCTGGTGATTCATCGCAAAATAGGCCGGCTGAGATTAACAACGTTGAAGATGCGCAGTATGTTTAACTTCTGATTGAGCATAATGATTATAATTGCATTTTACTATTTTGAACACAACTAATAATCGTGAATCACCTTGTTGACTCCTGGATGCATTAAGTTTTGTACTACTCAGTGTCATATTGACAATCAATCTGGAATTTCATGCTAGTTCATGGGGTGGCTTATCATTTCCTTATTTGTTCTCTATCGGTTAAACTTTGCACTTCCCACTTTCAGCATTTTAATGTAATGGTTTTGATGTTATTTAGTTCTTTGTCTCAATATAATTAGCACGTGATTATTAGTGCAACTAGATAGTTCACTGAGCCAACATGATGCTGTTACTGTTCATCTAGCACGCTTGTGATTAAGGCTTAAATGCAGTTTCTTATATTTTTCCCATCATATTCCCTTTTAAAATGTAATAAATGTGTAGTTTGATCGAAAAACCATGTACTTGTTGCAGATATGCTTCGTTATTGTACCCAAAGAGAAAAAAAGAAGAGAGAGCAAGAAAGGCATGTGCCTGAGAAAAGGAAAACAAGGAAGTTATGTGTGGGTTTAGTCTGTGCGTGTGTGTTGGTTTTGATTGCTAAGAGGTTGCGCAAACTGCAAGATACATATCAATGCCATTCTATAACCCCCCCCCCCGGGGGTCTTGCTTGCTATGGCTTGTAGCATGAATCAACGATATTTCTTAGTTTGTTAAAGGCACTAATGTTCTTTCAAAGCTCTATTTTGCTGGTGAGAAACAAGGGTTTGAAAGGGCTCGAGTGTTCAAGTTCTGATTGCTATTATCGTTCATAATTTGCATTTTGAGAACATAACATCATTCATAATCTGGAAGAACTATTTGGCATAATTCAAGAAACTATCTTCTCATTTTGGGATTATAATGACAAAAGCCTTGAAAGTCAGAAGTTCATTATTATAAGATTTTAATGATAAATGGAATGATATCTACTGCTTCAGGATTTAGGTTAGCTATTTTAAGGAGCCTTTTGGTGCACTGTTATATCACATTGCCGTGGTAACCTTAATGTTATGTTGGGATGAGATATCATAGTTTTCAAGTTCAATATGGCAATGAAAAATTTTTTAATCCAAATGTTATAATTGGTATTTTATACTCTCTATGTCCTTTTTTATAAGCAACAATTGCCATCTCCCTCTTGTTCCTAAATATAAGCAACATTTGTAAGTTGTCTTAAATTTTTATGACAAATTTCCTACTTTACCCCTATTAATTACTTATTTTAATATTCAATATATTTATTATCTCATTTCCCAAAACATCATCTCTTTCCATCACACATTCTCTCTCTTTCATAATTCTCTTTATTATAATAATTTTCTTATTCTCTTTCTTATACTTCCCCCCCAAAATAAATAAGGGTATTTTGAAGAAGAACTTTTAATTTTTACCTATTTATTGTCTTTAACTAACTTTTGATCTACGTAATGGAATCCAATGTTGCTTATAAAAGGGATAGAGGAAGTACAAGATAACAATAAATATGCTGTGTTGTAAGATCCAACGCTTTTTTTGATGCCCTAAAAAGTCTACCAAAATGTTCCATATTGCAGGCCATGTGATGTCTTCTTAACTCTGTTAGAGTTTGTTCCTCACACTTCGTTTAACTCAATTTTGCAGTCACAGTTAGACTTCTGTTTCTTTGCCAACTTTGAAGAATGGATTGCAAGTTTGCAGAGCTTGATGAATCCAAATTGCCCATAAAAGACTACCAACATATAGAAGCACCCTGGAGGTCTTTTTATATGCTTAGCTTAGAAAGCAAATCACCAACTACAGTCTCTAAGCACCTTATCCACGGTGCCTTGGAAAAAGGTCAATATGATGATTGCAACTAAGCCACAAAAGTTGTTTATAGTCCCTCAAACAATGAAGCATAATCTTATATCAATAGGCGAACAAGGTAGACATGTTTTCAACCAGAATCAGCAGATTATTCAGCTGGGAAAAGTGGGAAGACTTGAAGAGGCCATCAAAGTTTTTTCACAAATGACTCGGAAAAACCTTGTCACATACAATTCCATGATATCAGTTTTTGCTAAAAATGGTAGAATCAATGATGCCAGAGAATTGTTTGACAAAATGTCCCGAAGAAACCTTATTTCATGGAACACCATGATTGCTGGTTATCTACATAACAATATGGTCAAAGAAGCTAATGCATTGTTTGATGCAATGCCTAAAAGAGACAATTATTCTTGGGCATTGATTATAACTTGCTATACTCATGAGGGGCAGCTTAAAAAGGCTAGAGAACTGTTCGATTTGGTTCCAGATAAGTCAGACACTGCATGTTGGAATGCAATGATTGCTGGTTATGCAAAGAAGGGTCAGTTTAATGATGCTAAGGCAATGTTTGATCTCATGCCGGTCAAGGATTTGGTTTCTTATAACTCATTGCTGGCTGGATATACCCGAAAAGGGGAAATGCATATGGCATTGAATTTTTTCACTGAGATGGTCAAGAAAAATGTGGTTTCATGGAACTTGATGGTGGCTGGGTTCATTGATATTGGTGACTTGAGATCTGCTTGGCAGTTCTTTGAAAAAATTCCGAATCCTAATGCTGTTTCTTGGGTTACAATGTTGTGTGGATTTGCAAGACATGGTAAAATTATAGAGGCTAGAAAACTCTTTGATAAAATGCCTAGTAAGAATTTGGTTTCTTGGAATGCAATGATAGCAGCATATGTGCATGATTTACAAATTGATGAAGCTGTTAAGCTATTCATGGAAATGCCAGAGAAAGATTGTGTGTCATGGACTTCAATAATAAATGGGTATTTTAGGGCTGGTAAGCTTGATCAGGCACTAGAAACTTACAATCGGATGCCCTACAAAGACATAGCAGCGCAAACGGCAATGATATCAGGATTAGTACAGAATAAAAAGATAGATGAGGCTAGTCAAATTTTTAGTCAAATGGGCGCTCGTGATGTTATTTGTTGGAATAGCATGATTGCAGGCTACGTCCAGTGTGGAAGAATGGACGCTGCTCTTAAGTTATTTAGAGAAATGCCTGTTAAGAACACAGTTACGTGGAGTACTATGATTTCTGGGTATGCTCAAGTGGGACAGATGGATAAGGCAATAGACATCTTTCAGGACATGGGAGAAAAGAATATAGTTTCATGGAATTCTCTAATTACTGGTTTCATACAAAATAATTTATTCTTTGAAGCTGTCAAGAGTCTAGTTCTGATGGGTCCAGAAGGAAACAAACCTGATCAATCAACTTTAGCATGTGGGTTAAGTGCTTGTGCCAACCTGGCTGCTCTGCAAGTTGGCAAACAACTCCATGATTACATTCTAAAGAGTGGCTATATAAACGATTTGTTTGTTTCCAATGCCCTGATTTCCATGTATGCCAAATGCGGAAGGGTATATAGAGCCGAACAAGTGTTCAGAGATATTGATCATGTTGATCTTGTTTCTTGGAATTCCTTGATTTCAGGTTATGCTCTAAACGGGTATGCAAAAGAGGCATTTAAGCTTTTTGAAGAGATGTTACTAGAGGGGACAACGCCTGACAATGTAACTTTCATTGGGTTGTTGTCAGCATGCAGCCATGCTGGCTTAGCTGATCAAGGCTTAAACTTTTTTAAAGCCATGATTGAAGAATTTGCCATAGAACCTTTGGCTGAACATTATAGCTGCCTGGTTGATTTGCTTGGTCGCATGGGAAGGTTAGAGGAAGCCTTTGAAATAGTGAAGGGGATGAAGAACGTCAAAGCAAATGCTGGATTGTGGGGTTCACTGCTTGGAGCTTGTCGTGTACACAGGAATTTAGAACTCGCTAGATTTGCTACTGAGAGGCTTGTAGAACTCGAACCACATAATGCCTCAAACTATATTACGCTGTCAAATATGCATGCTGAGGCTGGAAAATGGGAAGAAGTTGAGAGAGTGAGAGTCCTCATGAGGGACAAAGGAGCGGGGAAGCTGCCTGGCTGCAGTTGGATTGAAATCAGAAATCAGATACAATCCTTTGTTTCAGATGATCCAGCAAAGTTGAGACCTGAAAAGAATATACTGAAGACCTTAAACACACACATGAAAGACAAAGGCGACACACCAGACATCGGCTTTTTACTTTTTGACATTTTAACCAAGCAATCTATATGTCAATATTGATGTTCTCATTCGATCAGATCACTTCACAGAGAATGTGATTATCAGCTATGTTAATGTTGACAAATTCTTGTGGAAGTTTGGCTGCTTCTTTTAAGTCATCATTTCAGGTACAAACAGTGTAGCTCCTTCCTCAAGCTACGTGCTTGTTGGTTTTGAATTTGCCCTACAATTATTGCAGGAATGCTCACTTCTAATTTGATGTGAAGGCTTGGGATGGTTTGAGCAATAGCAAGGAGCAAGAGAATTGGAACGAATCAAACCAATTCTTGATTTACAGTTACATGCTTATTGATCTCATAGGTTAAGTGAAATCTTGTAGGATCATTCATAAGATCACCTCCACTGAATGCCAACATGAGCAGGTATTTACCTTGCAGAGACGGACTCTCAAATCTTGTAGAAGAAATCCATAAGAATATTCTATCCAGCTTTAGCTTTAACTTCCTAAAATTTTTCAGCACTTTTTTTTTTTTTTTTCCTGATTTACTTTTGCGTTCATGGATCCAAGAAGCAAATGACTTGTTTGTACAGGTTAGCCATAATTTACTATTGGTCTGTTCATCACTTGTCTATAGGTGAAATACAATCATTTGCTGGCAATTAAGCAATATCATCTTTCTCTCCAAATTGCGTGGCATTTTGAGCACATCCATTTCTAATAATATAAAAACATCATCAACCGTAGGCTGACTTGGCAAATTTCCTACACTTGGCAAAACTGATCATGTGGTAGCAATACATGGCAAAAGAAGTTCAAACATGTACACACAAGTTAAAAATCAAAATAACACGTTTTCGCCATCATTGTTTAGGTCAAATAAACAGAATTCTCTTTAACTAAGATGGAGGGTTTAAACTGGCTAGCATTCTAAAATATTTTCTCAGGCATGTTCAGTACCTTAGAGTATTTTATAGTACATTTAGCATCACTTGTTTTATAGTGTAACTTTATTCTTAAAGTATCAATATTTTAGAAGCAACTGTGTTTTCAAAGTATTATTTCATGAGAGATTTTAACCTCATCATTAACTCCTCAAAAGGTCCATTCAATGCATGTATATCAAGCACAATAAAGTATTTCTTTCAATATTTTTTGGGGTACAAGATATTTTAGGATTAGGGGTGTTTATTAGGCTCAAAAACTTGTAATACCCACTCGAGCCAAGTGAAATTATGCCCGGCCCAGCCCTTAAAAAGCTACTCAAACAATAGATGAGCATTTTCGGGCAAGGCTGGACATTGGGCAAGTTATACTGCCCTATCCATTTGGCCTTATCCAGAGTTTATATATATAATTATATTCAATATATATAATATACATATATTCATGATATATAATTATATTTAATATAAATACACACGCATGTAATTTTTATGTGGTAGAATTATATATTTCAAGATTTAAATTGTTGATATATTTGATTATGGATGTTGTTTGAAAACTTATCACAATGTGTTTGATTATAGAATGATAAATAGATATATGAATTTGTAGTGTCTTGTTTATATATATATATATATATATATTGAAATATTCTAAATTGTGAAATTATAAAATACATTTAAAAATCAAAATATTATTTATCAAGTTTGGTGGAAATTTTCACATAATATGAACAACCAATCAATGCATCATCACTTAGGGTGGGCAAGGAAGCCCATCTTGCCTAACCCTACACAGTCCTATACTAAATAACTTGGGCTTTCACTGGACAGGCTCAACAATGGGTTTCAAAATATAATCCATTGATCATTTGGACTGAGCATCAGGCAAAGGTCATGCCCAAACCAACCTTGCTTATGTGCAGCCCTATTTAGGATATTAAATGTATCTGAAAAAATATTTTAAAATACTAAATACAGTACAAAATACTTTAGCATACTGAATATATCTAACAATATTTCATGCTGTTGTACGCAGCTTAACCAACTTTATAAATGAACCAAAAGCCTTACATTACTTCAGTCCTACAGTACTCGCCGTCGCGTGAGAAATAATACATTTCCCCCATTTACATACTCCGCATGGTGTTCTACATGACATAGGCACTTTCTCCCCTGCATTTATCCTTTACCAGATGTTCCCCTTCTTTATTTATTGATCCTGATATGCTGATTCATTTGAAGCAAGGACGATCAACATGATGCCAAGCTTTGATCAATGAAGATTTATGATGAATTCTTTTATTAAGCAACTGTAGAAGTCATATGCTAGTGTGCACGACATCTGATTTCTCTATTTCATTCTCTTCCCAATTCAAATTCCATACCGTTCAACTTAAATTTAGGCAGTTCAAGTTTAATGTTTTCCCCATGCGAGAAAAGGTTGAGAAGCATGCTTCTAGGAAGGAAGGAAGGGAAAGAGCAGCATTTCCGTTCAAAAACTCATTTGGAAGCTATAGTTCCATACATGGTTTTACACTCAAAGGAGGAGAAATTTATAATCTAGTCACTAAAAATATTGGGTTTAAATATATAACTATCACCTAGTCACTCTGTTTATCTTCATCTGCATCATTCATGTTTTCAATAACTTCACTATCCTGTTCCTCAAATGTTCTCGTTACATCACCATCAGGTGTGGCTGCATGCTCTGGACCTGTCTTGTTCGCTTCTGAGGAAGTATTGCTGAAGCCTGTGCCATTAGCCACATTTTGTTGCTTCTCCATCATCCCAGACAAGGCTAAGCTTGGAGACCATTCAAGGACATCGTCAATTATGTTAGATACCCTCTTCTGGTACCTGCACAAAGACAAGACAAACCCAACTTCAGTTCCTGATAACGCCGGAGACCAGAGTAGCGTAACAGCAGGTGTCAAAGACTCAAAGGGTGTCATTAGATATAGCAGATCTAGATCCTCTAAAGTCGGTAAAGTTGAACGCAAGGTACTGATACCATACGGATAGTGCCAGTATTTTGTGTTCAACTTTCACCAACTTCAGGATATGTTCTCTAGGAACTGGAACCAGATTCTGACTCTTCTATTATAATACTCACCTTGCTCTGGCAGCCTCATCAGGGGCATGATGCCTCAACAATAATATGACCAGCACAGCAACCCCTGCATAGAAAAGCCTAGTTGTCCACTTGGGTCGCTCCTCCTCATCTTTCTTAGGCCAAAATCTGAATAACTCTCGTAATGTAGCCTCCTCAGCAAGAATGTTAGGGAAAAACCAATACCGTTTCCCAAGAATTATGTATAAGACACCAAATACTGTAGCTCTTACTGCAAGATAATAACAATCCATAATGAGGACCAAGGAAAAAAACTGAAGCAATTTCGGGTGCACTAGTTCAGAGAGAGTACACAAGCAACCATGTCCGTAAACAAAATTCATGTTTGAACTGCAGGGCGATAAAGTCATAGAATAATCTGATTCCCAGAGCATTTGGCAAGACTATAATGAGAACAGGTTCTAGAGTTCACTGAGAGTTGTGGGGGGGGGGGGAGAAAGAAAAGAAAAATCATCAAAGCAACTAAGCAGAAGCCTCCATGCCGATATCACATGCAACATTATACAACAGGAATTATGATGACAGAATCAAGAGAATGTACATGTCATAAGTAGGGAGCCAGTTACGATTCTACTTCAAAGAGCTTTCCCTTATAGATGAAACAAATAATGCGAGTCACCATCGTTACAGCTCCAAAATTGTTGGAATCACAAGTCTGTGGTCATTCAATGAATTTCGTGAAAGCCTGAAATTGTCAAATTTTTGGCCCAAAACTGAAGCAAATGCAATTCAGCTGTTTTTGACAAATCATCCCAGTTGAAATAGGTCCTACACTAACCCCCAGCACAAACTAATCCTAATCCTAATCCTAATCTTGCCTAAGGTCCAATATCTCCCACTTTGACTGCCATTTATGTCTTGATAAGAGGTGATAAGGATTTAGGAAGTCCTTGTACATCGAGAAAACAACTACTTGCATTGCACCCAAAATAAAGAAGGCAAATGTCATCATGTGACCATTTCTGTATTATTAGAGATCGTAAGCTCGGTGTTGTCATGGACCATTGCAAGACAAAATCATAAACTATCAAGCGAAGATCCACAAATAGTTTCAACATAATCTCTATCACATGTTCGCTCACATGAAAGCCTTATAGACCGAGGTGAGAATAGAACATAATTTTATTTACTAGAATCAGGGGCAGCAAGGGTCAAGCTCGTGACCCCTTAAGCTCACAGTGGCACAACGACCATTTGAACTCAAAAGCTTAAGCTGTAGAGCAAATTCCTACATAGTTTTCATATAATCTCTGACAAGTGTTACCTACAAACTATCAGAAGATCATTCAACCTTATGTTTTGATCGTTCCTGTCAGTTCAATCTATTATTTTCTCAACAGAAGGTGACACTGCCATTCATCCCATCCTTCAAGTAGAAGGATTCTAACAAATCTTTTATGACTATATACGTATTATTGACCTCTCACAGATATATTTCTATAATTCCAGTTAGATATCTGAATCAAAAGTGGAGCTCAGAAATGCATTGGCGATTCCAGTTCCATAAAAATTTCAAGTTAAAAAAGTGCTGAAAATATTCTGCATATGTCAGATATCCAGAAGTCTTCAGAAACATCCTTTACTTATTGCATGGCAATAGTTTCCTTCAAAACAATGTCATTTATTAATTAAATGACAACATATCTAAAAACAGCCACAGAGGACATCTAATAACATCTATTCAAAAATTATAAATTCAATACATTATTTATTCAAAATTAAATTTAGCATGGAACCTTAATTGCATCTAGCACAGACTAAGATACTACACTACACTTCTTTTTAAGGAGGATGGGGATGAGCCTAAAATGACTATAGCAGCCAAATGGAACGGGTAAAAAAAGGATGTTCAATTAGTAATAGCAATGATGATGTCCAATCAATTATCGCAATATAACCTCACAAACCCTGCTACCCTCTCATATTCCATGCGTTTGAAAACATCAACATATTCGAATTAAGTAAAAATTCCAAATATTTTGAACTACATATATTTACAAAAGCCTCAAAGGTCCTTATCACTTGAAGCACTAAATCATAGATAAAGTCATTCTATAATTATTTCAAAAAGAAACAAAAGCTATTGAGACTAGGGTAAAAGACATATACTTGTTTATACTAATATAGGAAGCATTCAAAATACAATCCAACAAGAAGCTATTGCACATCAATCACAAAACAATGGGTTGTATATAACTGTTAAGAAATTAACATATGGCATGGTGCTGTAATGTCGGACAAAAATGTGTTGACTTGATCCATGAAAGTAAGTAATGAAGAGGATCAAAACGGAATCAATTGTAGATCTATATGAACAAGTTCAAATGGAAAAGACAGAACTTACTCAGAAGTAGTGAGAGAATGAGGAAAAGGATCCCAGCACATGAGTAAAGTATTAATAACTTGCAGCGATGAGGATACACCGGAAATAAGCAAATTGCCAATGTTAATACG